AAGCCATATTCTCAGCCCTCAAGAGCCTTGTGTTCTTGTTTGGTGCTTTTCTATCTTTTTTTTTTTTTTTTTTGGTTAGTTGTGGGGCTTAAACTCATGGCTTGGACATTGTTCCTGGTTGTTTTTTTGTTTTCTTTCTCTCAAGGCTAGCACTCTACCATTTCACAGTTTTTTTGTTGTTGTTGTTTTTTTGTGTGTGGTATTAAGGTTTGAACTGAAGGCCTTGTGCTGGCTAGGCAGGTGCTCTAACACTTGAGCCATGCCTCAGCCCCTGTCTCTCTTTTTTTTTGTGCTGTTCCTGGGGCTTGAACTTGGTGCCTGGGTACAGTCACTAGACTCTTTTGTTCTATGCTAGGAGTCTAAGACTTGAGACACAAAAGCTTCACTTCTGGCTTTTTGGTGGTTAATTGGAGATAAGTGTCTCATGAATTTTTTCTTTTTTGGTCCGGTCGTGGGGCCTGAACTCTGGGCCTGGGCGCTGTCGCTCAGCTTTTCAGCTCAAGGCTAGCGCTCTACCACTTGAGCCACAGCGCCATTTCTGGCTTTTTTCTTTTTTCTTATGTGCTGAGGAATCGAACCCAGGGCTTCATGCATGCAAGGCAAGCGCTTCACCACTGAGCCACCTTCCCAACCCTCATGAATTTTTTTGCATTGGCTGACTTTGAACCTTATGATTGCATTTAGGTCTCACCTGATATTCTAAGGTAATTTCCCTGTGTTAAGATCTTCAACTTAGCCTGTGTTGCTAACTTATCCTAAAAAATGTTCTTCCAGTTTTTTTGTTTTTTGTTTTGGATGGTCCTGGGGCTTAAACTCTGGGTCTGGGGTGCTGTCTCTGAGCTCTTTAGCTCAAGGCAAGCACTCTGCCACTTGAGCCACAGCACTACTTCCGGTTTTCTGGTGGTTCATTGGAGATAAGACTCCCATGGTCTTTCCTGCCCTGGTTGGCTTTAAACCATGATCCTCAGATCTCAGCCTCCTGAGTAGCTAATATTACACGTGTGAGCCATTGGCACCCTGCTTTACCTATATCTTTTCTAACTGGATAAAAATGGTGGTAGTGGTGATGGTTATGGTTGTTGGTGGTGTAGGCTGTGGGGTTTGAGCTCGGAGCCTGTGCCTTGTCCCTGAGCTTTTTTGCTCAAGGCTAGTGCTCTACCACTTGTTCTACAGTGATACTTCTGGCTTTTTGGTGGTTAACTGGAGATGAGAGTCTCACAGATTTTCCTGCCTGGGCTAACTTTGAACCATGATTCTCAGATCTTAGCCTCCTGCGTAGCTAGGATTACACATGTGAGCCACCAGCCCCGGGCCATTATCCTTATTTCACAGATCAGAAAATTGGCTCAGAGCAGTTCATCACATGGTGGAGCTAGATTAGAACATATGTCAGTTGGGTCCCACAGTCTATTCTGACTTCTCGTGGGCCTTTATACGTCAGTATGTCACATAGTCCTGCCTTCATTTTCGATATCAGAGAGGTTAGCCCAATTGTGAATGCTCAAAGCAGGGAAAGATTGTCACATAATCTCAGCAGTGAACTTGTGAAGTTCAGGGCCTAAACTCTACTAGCTTAAATTTATCTTTGACTGGAGCTCCATTCCCAATAACACCTCCTTAATATTTCCAGTGAGAAAGTGAAAGACCAAAGCCTAAGCTCTTCAGACTGTTGATGCTTGCTAAAGGTATAGCCTCTAGATCCAGACCTAGATACTTATGTTGCTGCCCTGGACCCAAATACTGTTCTTGTGTCTACGCATTCCTCAATATTTAGGGACAAATTAGGATTTCCCCAAGACTTGCTGCCAGTTATGTCTCTGCTATGACTCAATAGGTATCCTCTGTTGCCTCTAAACTAAAATTTGCTGGTGTTCACACCCCAGATCCTTTCTGCCTTTGTAAAATGAGGATAGCATTTCCTGACACTTGGGCTCTGGTAAGGACAATTAAATGAGGTCTGTACCTACTGTAGAGCTGACACTTAGCTAATGAGAGCTCATCTTTCTTCCTAGCCGATCCCTGCTTACAAGCCTAGTCCTACTTGGGCCTTTACTTGAGCTCACTTCTGGGTTGCTATCCCTGGTGCTTAGTGATAGAATCAGTTAGCAAGCATTTCTGGAGTTCTTCGTGTATTAATCCTTTGCTTAAACACCAACCTTAATGACAGAGTCAGCTCTCTTCCTCTTGTTTTACAGGATGTGTTCACCTCTTTCAAAGTCTCAAGCATACACTTCGTATGGTCATTGTCTGTTTTCTTCCATCTTTCTTGTTTGTGACCTTATCAAGGTAGAAACCAGGTTAATTCTTTTCCTTCTTTTTCTTTCTTTCTCTTTCTTCCTTTCTTCATCTTGGTACTGGGGTTTGAACTTGACCTGGTGCTCTTCCTTGGCTTTTTTTTTGCTCAGAGATGGTACTCTGCTACTTGAGCCATACCTATATTTCTGACTTTTTGCTGGCTAATTGGAGATTAGCTAACTGGAGATTCTCTAGAATTTGTCTGGGCTGGCTTCAAACCTCAATTCTCAGATCTCAGCCTCCTGAATGTCTAGGATTATACGTGCAAGTTACTGGTGACTGGCATGATATATATATTTTTTATGTCAGTCGTGGGGCCTGAAATCTGGGCCTGGGTGCTGTCCTTCAACTCAAGGATAGCGCTCTACCACTTGAGCCACAGCGCCACTTCTGGCTTTTCTGTTTATGTGGTACTGAGGAATCGAACTCAGGGCCTCATGCATGCAAAGCAAGCACAGCCCTGGCATGATATTTTTAATTTTTAATTTTTTTGCCAGTCCTGGGGCTTGAACCTCAGGGCTTGGGTACTGTCCCTGAGCTTCTTTTGTTCAAGGCTAGCACTCTTTTTGGGGGGGGGTCCAGTTGTGGGCCCTGAACTCTGGGCCTGGGCGCTGTCCCTCAGCTCTTCAGCTCAAGGTTAGCGCTCTACCACTTGAGCCAGAGCGCCACTTCCAGCTTTTTTCTTTTTGCTTATGTGGTGCTGAGGAATTGAACCCAGGGCCTCAGGCATGCAAGGCAAGCGCTCTACCACTGAGCCACCTTCCCACCCCAAGGCTAGCACTCTTACACTTGAGCCACAGCGCCACTTTAGGCTTTTTCTGTTTATGAGGTACTGAAGACTCAAACCCAAGGCTTCATGCATGCTAGGCAAGCACACTACCACATTCCCTTATTTTTATCTATTCATTTTCCAGCTCAGGATCTGTAAATTTTTCTTGGGTTAATAAGAGTCCTACTACTCCCCTTTTCCTGCTTTCTTCTGTCATCTCCCTTCTATACCTGGGAGTTTGGTGTGCTTCCTCCTTTTTTCAAAATTCATCCTTCTGTCAAGTGTGGACTTAGTTTTACTGTTTTACCTTCCTTGATGGACACCCCCTGGTTGTAGTGGTGCCATGGCTGTGGTAAATGGCTGATTCTTGTCAAGCAGGGATGGACTTGGTAACTGGCATAATGTGCTAGTCCACAATCTCCATGGCAGGAAGGGCACCTGGACTACTGTAAGATTGTTACAGTCTGTGCCACCTTTGGATGCCCATTGAGGGCTTCCAGGTGAAACACAGAGCTCTAAACTTTATGCTTATTCTTTGACAGAAATTCCTCTCCTTATTTTCCAAGTATTTTCCAAGGAGATGATTTCCTTAAGGGGACAAATGGCCTTAGAGAGAAAGATGACCTTCTGTGTGATTAGTATTAGTTGGGTTGGGTGAATGTCCATAATGAGCAGGTTTGTAGTTTGCTGCCCTGTTGGTAGATCAGGCTGGTTGCTCTAGTGTCCAGCAGAGGGCGCAAAGAGCCTGGGGAAAATCTGCTTTGTTTTAAAATGGAAAATACCTCTTGAGTAGTACATGATAATTTTTTAAGACTCCGGAAGTGCGCATGTGTATGGGTTCATTTATCCTAGACCTTTGGGGCCAGATGTGATTTGGAATTTAGAAAATTTCAGATTTTGGAAAAAGTTCCCTGGTATATATATTTTGTATTATATAACACTTCAGCAGAGACTGAAGCAGGACTTAATGAGCAAATGCCTGAATGTTTCTGCTGCAAAATGTTTGAATCTTCACTCCCAGTTGAGATCCTTGGGTGTCACTTGTAGTTAACACAAGTTGGATAAAGGCTAGATTTTTAAAAACTTGTTTTTGAAGACTTGATGTTTAAAATTGTCTGAGTTTTTGAATTTTGGACAAAGGATTATATACCTTTATCACGAAGGAAGGCATGCCAGGCATTTGTGGCTCACATCTCGAATCCAGGCTACTTAGGCTGAGAGCTGAAGATTTGAGGTTCAGAACCAGCAGACAAACCTTATCTGTAACCATCAAAAAGCTGGAACTGGAGGCATGACTCAAGTGAGAGAGCCAGATATGAGAGTGAAGAAGCTGAACAAGAACTTGAGGCTCTGAGGTCAAACTCACACTTTAGTGTGTGCTTGCACACACTAAGAAGGAAGATATAGGAAAATTTTTTCATGTGTATATAACTTACATGTATAGAATGGTGTAAATCTTGTGTATATATGTATTAAAAGTGTGCAGTCAAACTTGAGATCTATCTTTGTACATCTTTTGTCTTCTGCATCTTAGGATACCCCAGCTGTATGTGAGGCTAAAGATCTAGGTTCTTGTCCGTCACTCTTTTCAACATCTCCCCTGGGTGAAACTCCTTGGAAGTAGCACCAGACACTTCATATAGGCACTTACTTGGTCACGGCCTCTGACTGCCTAGACCAGGCCCTTGACAAGATCAGCAGGATTGAGAAGGCAAATGGGGCCCCCTTGTGAGCAAGTGTTATTCTCTCTCACCCAGCAACCGAGTCTATAAAAGAAAGAGACTCCTACTCTATGAATATGGAGTGGTCAAGAAGGGTCAAGAACTGCCCAGTTTCCTCTATGCTAGTTATCTGAGTTCTTTAAGAGTTTGAGGGAAGGGCCCTGGGGAGGTGGTACAGGCCTTCCCTGTTGCTGATCCCCACATCTTCCCTTCAGCAGGAGCATTGGTTTGAAAAGGCCCTGCGAGACAAGAAAGGCTTCATCATCAAGCAGATGAAGGAGGACGGCGCCTGTCTATTCCGGGCTGTAGGTGAGTCTCTACCTCAGCCCTCAAGGGCCTAGGGCTGTCCCTGGGCTGTTTCTCAGTTGTCTGGAGTGGTCCCTGAGACAGGGTTGAATAGTGTTATCTGGCTCCAGGCTCCAGGCTCCAGCCTTAAGTTAGTATTCTGCTGCTGGCCTTGGGTCATGAAAGTTTGGTGGTACAAGAATAATAATGGTGCTCTTTTTCCTTCTCTGTCTCTGTGCGCCTCCATCTCATGTGGGCTGGCAGTTTGCTCTCCCCCCCAATAAACACTTTTTTTGCCCATCCTTGGGCTTGAACTCAGGGCCTGGGCACTGTTTCTGAGCTTCTTTTGCTCAAGGCTAGCATGAAGTCTTCCACTTGAGCCACAGTGGCAATTCCAGCTTTTTTCTGTGCATGTGGTACTGAGGAATCAAACCCAGGGCTTCATGCATGCTAGGCAAGCACTCTACCACTAAGCCACATTGCCAGCCCAATAAACTTTTCTCCCTGAAACAACAACAACAACAAAATAACAGCAATGATATTAATACAGAAAATGGAGCTAGTTGCTGGTGGCTCATGCCTGTAATCCTAGCTATTGAGGCTGAGTTCTAAGGAAGGATTGAGGTTTGAAGCCAGCCCTGGTAGAAAAGTCTGAGACTTTTAATTAACCAGCAAAATGCCCAAAGTGAACAGGAAAGTGGTAGATCACCAGCCTTGATAAAAGAGCCAAGGGAGAGCATAGGCTGAGTTCAAGCTCCAGTACCAGTAAAGTATATAAATAGAATAAATAAATAAATAAATAAATCACTTAGGGACAGATTGTCCTGTTGGCACTACAGGAAACTCAATTCTTCCAGGTAGGTGATTATAGTGACTATTACTACCATTTCTCAGGTAGGAAAAGTGGCTCAAAGATGGGTAGTAATTTGCCCATGGTCACACACAGAGTATGTAATAAATTGGCATTTGGAGTCTTGGGTTAGATTATGCCCTTAACCACAGCACATTGCTATAACTGGAGGATACAGGATGACTGTGTTTACACCCAGACCCTCTGTGGTGTTTGGGATTTGTGTGTGTGTGTGTATTTGTGTGTTTGTACACCAAACTAGATCTTTACAAACTTCTTCTATCATGGATTTTTTTTTAACTTACACAGAAGTAGAATAGTGAAACTTTGCATAGTCATTGTTAGGAAACTGAGTCGTGAGGGCATTAGAATAAAGAAAGAACAACAAACTCAACAGACCAGATCAACTTTAATTGAAGGTTAAGAGGGATGCTATGGCCGGGCGCCGGTGGCTCACGCCTGTAATCCTAGCTACTCAGGAGGCTGAGATCTGAGGATCGTGGGTCAAAGCCAGCCTGGGCAGGAGAGACCGTGAGACTCCTATCTCCAATAAACCACCAGAAAACGGGAAGTGGCGCTGTAGCTCAAGTGGTAGAGCGCTCGCTTTGAGCTGAAGAGCCGAGGGACAGCGCCCAGGCCCAGAGTTCAAGTCCCACGACCGACAAAAAAAAAAAGAGGGATGCTATGGTGACCTGAGGAAAGTCAGGAGACTGGAGGTGTAATGGAGAATAGGGGTGGAGGGACTTAAGTACGGTAAGGGATGGGGTCAGGGTCCCAGGTAGCTGGAGGATTTCAGAGGGTTTCACAAGTTTAGAATACAGGTCTGGCTGTGGGAATTTATTGTTTGAGCAACTCCCTTGACCCATCTGTTTTAAGGAATTCTGGTACCTGTCACCTGATGTGGGGGGGAAGTGGGCTTTCATATTTAGATTAAAATTCTGGGCTGGAGACTTCAGGAGGGTGGGAGGAGGGTAGTCAGTGGGCATGCCATGGGAGCAACACTGAGTTACTGCATTAGGAGAACAGATTCCCATCACTCAATATCTGGCTTCAAAATAGTCATCAACACAACACATGGCTAGCCTTGTTTCATCACTCACTACCCTGCCTACTCTTTCTCACTCCCCTGAAACCATTTTAAAAGCAAAACCCTGACATTGATCATTTCATTTATAAATATTTTTGTATGTCTCTAATAAATATAAACTCTCGGTCTCTCTTTTTCTTACATTAATGTCCTGTTTTCACCAAGCACGGGTGGCTCATTCCTATAAGTTTAGCTTCTCAGGAGGCTGAGATCTGAGGATAATAGTTCGAAGCCAGCCTGGGCAGAAAAAACTGTGAGACTCTTATCTCCAATAAACTATCAAAAATCCAGAAGTGGAGTTATGACTTAAGTGGAAGAGTGCTAATCTTGAGCAAAAGAAGGTCAAGGACAGTGCCCAAGCCCTTAGTTCAAGCCCCAGGACTGGCACCAAAAAAAGCCATTATCACACATAAAAAATTAATAGATTCTTCATATCACTTGTTAGCCAGTCCAAAGCTAGATCTTTGAGGGTCTTCTGGTTCTGAATCTGTGACCTAAAAAGTAGTTGTGAAGTTCCATGCCAGTGTGGAGGGAACCTGGAAGTATGACCTTTCCTTTCTCCCGAGCTCTGCTATCTTCCACAAAAAAGTTTTCCTTACTGTAATAGGAAGGAACTTTGAGCTGGGAGTCAGAAGACCTGGTTCCTAGTCCCTGGCCCCAAGTCATAACTCTGCAGCCCTTTTTGTTTTGCTCTTCTTTCTCTCAGGTTCTGGTTAATCCACTTATCTACTAATGGGCTAGACTGGTTCAGGTACCACCCCTGGCTATACCACTGATTTTCTGGTGTGACCTTGGACAAGCAACTCTGTTCCTGAGCCTCTCCTGAGCTGTAAAATGGGGTCAGAAAGACCCCATTGTTGTAAAGGTTGAATGAGGTTACTTTGGTAAATCCCTTAGTGCCTGACATAACCCTCATGAAACAATAAAATCCAGATGTTATTGTTATTGGTGCCTTAGATCCAGAAGTGTTTTTTGAATGGGTGGAGTGAATGGTAGCTTCCCCCTTCTACCAAGCAGAAGTTGTTCAGGCAATGGATTCTGTTAGTCTGGGAAAATTCCAAATCTCCCACCCTTCTGGCTTGAGTTCATGTTCTCCCTGGGCTGTTTCCTAGAGGAAAGAACTGTGTTTGGGAGCATCTTAGATAAAGGGAAGGCAGAAAAAGAACAAGTAGGAACCTGTTAGATGCTAGGCTGTATGTTGACCTCAGGCTGGGTGTGGGGAAAGCAGGGTTAATGGTAGAGTTGGACATCTGGACTTGGTGATCATTCAGGCAGCCCTTTGGGTTAGTGAGGTCCTGGTGTGTACAATAACCCATATCAAGAGCTGTGTGTGTGTGTGTGTGTGTGTGTGTGTGTGTGTGTGTGTCTAGCTATTCTCCCCAAACACTCCCAACACCCCTCCTACACCATTAGGGCCTTCCAGTAAGGGGCCCAAGCTTACAGGAAGAGCTGACCACAGCAGGTTGAAGGCCTTTCCTTATCAGCACTATGGCTACACATTTCCCGTGACTGGGCTGCCCTCGGCTTTTCTCTGTAAAACCTCAGAAGTCCCATGGCCTCTCCCCTGAAGTACATGGCCCCTGGTCTCTAGGCTTCATCTAGAGGTTTCCTTGGTGCAGAGTACACAATACATGTGCCTGGGAAGGGGACTTTGTCCCCAGGCCTTCTGCTATCCCCGTTTCCCGCCTAGCTTATACAAGAACAGATGGTAGTCATCTTCAGCTTAGTGCAAAAGCCTGCAGGCTCTGACTTCCTGCCATGCATTGAATAGTTGGAAGTAGCACGTAACTGAGAGTTAGAGTTGGGTAGATTGCAAACATACAGCACAACACTTTCTTGTTTCCCTGACCCCTACTGTGTGCAAATCTGGGCGGTTCTGGCTCTCCTGTGAAATTTGGGTCATTGTCCATTGAGATAGATCTGAATAGATTAAGGCTTTGAAAAGCCGGGCTGAGGCTATATCTCAGGGAAGAGTACTTGCCTAACATTTGCAAGGCCCTGGGTTTGATCCCACCACTGCCCCCCCCCAAATGAAAGGGAAATGATATGCTCAGGGTCATTAGTGGCAGAGCTGTCATAGGAACTCCTAAGTGTCTAAAGAACCCTCCCTCCTCTGTGCTGGAGTTTGAACTCTGGTTCTTGTGTTTGCCAGATTGGCGCTCTTCTACTTGAACCATACTCCCAGCCCTAAGAACACAATTTTTCTATGATCCTATAAGCCCTGGCTTCTTAGCTGGGTTGTCCACTGGCTAGGTGACCTTGGCTGTGTTCTTGACGTCTCAGTACATTGTAACCTTTTGCTGTTAGAAATCCTTGAGGAATGTGGTTTTCCGACCTCTGTTTTGTCTCTAAGGTCTGGAAGTTCTTTTTGAACTAGTATGAATTGCTTATACCCAGTTCTCCCTTACTGCCTCCTGTTGGGGATTTGTGAATAGCAGCGAAGGTTTGGGTGGAGTGGAGGTAGGAGTCTCTTAGGTATCCTGTGGCCCACCCTGCCCCTGCTGTGTTCAGATAACCTTCTCCTAGAAATGTGAGTCTGCATCTGTCCCTTTCTCCAAGTAACTTTGACTCAGCAAAAGCCTCTGGCTCTGCTATGTTAATGGCCTCTGGGCAAAGTGGAGGCCATATGAATGTGTCAGCATGGGCCAGAGGGGAGTGGCTGTGGCTGTGTTTGTTATGGCCAGAAATGTTGACCAGGACCACTCCCATCTACATTTTGTTTTTGGAACAAGACTGTCCACACTGAGAGAGATAGATCTTAGATCCTGTGTGCACATGGTTGCACACGTGCGCCAGTTGTGGGGCTTGAACTCAAGGCCCGAGCGCTATCTCTGAGACTATCTCCAATTAACGACCAAAAAAGCTAGAAGTGGCGCTGTCCCTCAAGTGGTAGAGCGCTAGTCTTGAGCAAAAGAGCTCAAGGACAGCAGGGGGAATAGGGGGGAGAAAGAAGAAGAGACAGGAGAAAAGGAAAGAGGGAAGAGAGATGGCCTGTAACCTGTGATTTGGGGGCCACATAGCCAGTATCACAGCATCATGGTTCGAGGTTGAACCAGGCCACTAAAGGAGAAGATTCCTATAAGCCTG